ACTGCGGCCCCGGCGTCATCTATCTCTCTGCAGGAAAGTATGCCGAGACACTTGCAAAAAACTTCGCAATTACTCCCATCGGCCTCACTACTCCTTTTTCCATATTCCTCCCAAGTCCACACCCAATACTACCCTACTTACCACCTTTGAATATTCACACGATGTGCCACATTAAAAAGTAGTTTCCCGATTTATCAGTCAGTGCAAACTGCTTGCCAGATTCAAGTGCGCAAGCCCCTGTACCCAGAGCCAATTTCATCTCACAGCACATGTTTTATTATGGTTTTAGATGGTTCGAGATGATTCCAACACTTGTGCTTGTAGGGGTACACACTATTTCAGTTTGGTGCACTCATCTGAGTTGGGGATTGCAAAACATGACAGCTGATGTTTACACTGTGGCAAATTGCGTCCGTTGAAAAGTGGGTCCACTGCCGAGCCTGGGATGGGGACTTTTGTTACATGTGACCATCCAGCATGGCTAGGGGATGGTGACGGATTGGTCAAACCCAATAATCCCTGATGGCGCTGGACTTTCGTCACCCGCACAAGTGGTTCAGATCATGTAAGCGACTATCGCTTCCGGCAAAGCGAAAAGTATGTAGAAATAATCTTGCAAATATCCTCAAGCGCCTTGCTTCATAATCTGATCTCAAAGTGGTTGCAAGTTGTCAATACATACAACCATTCCACTATTTCCAATGAGTTTATTGATTTATAGGCAAACAACACAAAACAAACGCGGTTCGTTACTGCCATGTGCGCTGCGAGTAACTTGCGCGCCTCGTGTTACGCCGAGTCGCACATGCCAAAGGGTCCGAAGCTGGAATGCTTGTTGAACACACCCCGTCCGAAACCCAACTTTGCCCCACGTCAATCTGTTTCTTGCCAATTCTGTGAGAGTACGCCCCCGTTACACTTCTTTTTCATTACTATATTTCATCTCCGTCTATTTCTCCCTTTTCTCCTAATTTATTCAAATCCTTACCTTATCTCATGTGTTGCATATTCTTTACTTTCCATTATCCTTTGGTTTATCCTATTATTATAATTATATCACAGACCTGGCTTGGGATGTACTGACGCGCTATATCTAGCGTAATCCTGTCGATAACACTTAAAGCCAATAGCCTCGCATGGCTATACGCAGGGTGATTCTATTTCAAGAAGGGTCTATTCCCTTTGGATATGATAAACCTGGTTACTTGATGTACCTTGGAAGTATAAAAATGCCTTGTATCAATCCATATTGCAACTTTCTCTCGACCATTTCGTTCCTCTGACAAATTCCCTTCCTTCCTTCCACTCAATCACCCCATCTCCTTTCTTTCCACCAATATTCCTTCAAACTTCTCTACAGCTTCCCCCTTCCCGTACGCAAGACGCTCACGCAACATTCATTGCTTTGTATCTCTTTCTCCTCCCAAGTCCGAACTTAACATTCTATTGCCCCAAGTCTTGAGTGTTCCGTTGTGGGTGGCGGAACCACTCCAACAACCTCCCATGTGGTTTTTCCAACCATGCACCTCCCATGTGGTTCACTCCTCTACTGCTTCCCTGTAGTCTTCATCCTTACACTCTAAGTCAACTCCATGCTCCCTTGCAACTGCTTGGCTTTCTGCCTCTGCTGACCGTGCTTATACGTATAAGCTCTCACTGCCAGACTCGAGTTACTCTGTGTCATACTCTTGCTGCTCACCTCTCTATCCAAGGAATCTCCTGTATCTCTTGCCCCTTCGGGTACCCCCTCGCTATCACTGAACCACTCATCTGCATGTCGTGGCTGCTGAACCACTCATCTTTGGGGTCGGGGCAAAAGTCTGGAAGAAGTCAACACCCTCGCACTGGCTGAAGCCTCTAGCCATGTAATGCACCTTGAAGACAGGCAGCTCTCCAGGGGGGCGCTTCACCTTGAAGAGCCACCGACCATCGACGACTACGTTCACCCCAGGAGGGGGAACTGCATCGACATAGGTGTCGGTGGACCTCCAAGATGCCATCTCCTGCTCCATGGCAGCTACCCATTGAAGGGCCAAGGTCCCGAGGTGGCCTCAGCGTAGGTGCGAGGGGTCGGGATGTCAAAGGCGTCTGGGTCACCCTTTGGGACTAGGAGCATGGAGCAGAGATGGGGAGCGGCCTCGGACAGGAAAGCAAGCTTGTACTGCTTGTCCTCTAGAACGTCATTGCCAAGGGCAGGTGTACCCCCGACAGACGGAGGACGGGCAGGGTCAGAGACCAGAGCAGTGTTTAGTCAAGGCTGTGGGTAGAGGCGAAGTCAGCGACAGTAGCGACAAGCGCGTCAAGGCACGAGATAGGAACAAACGGATCTGTAACGAGAGAGGCAAGAACCCGAGGGACAAGGGGACGAGCGGCACGAAGGTAGTCAGACAGCGGGGGAGGTGCAACAACAAGCGACGACGGAGGAGGCGACTGGAGGAGGGGAGGACGAGATGAGTGGAAACGGAGCAACATAGGGTGGGAGCACGGGACAGGAGAGACAGGACGAGCACGAGAGGGACGGCGAGACCAAACGTGGGACGGAGGTGTAGGGTCAGGAGACAGCGGAGGGGACACAAGACGGGAACGAGGAGGAAGACGGGCCGGAGACGAGTCCGACGGCGGGAACACATGGCTGTAGACAGGAAGGTGAGGAGGTAGCGGGGGAGACACCGGCGAGCAGTCAGGGGAGGGAAGGCCGAGCAGGCAAAGAGCGGAGACCGGCGGCGTCTGCTGCTGCGGCTGCTGCTGCTTGACCGTCGGACCAGCAGTGGCACAACGACCGCCGGCAGAACACTCAACGGCAGCACCCCCAGAACCAGCACCCCCGGAGCGAGAACTCCCTCCAGTACAAGCGTAACCCCCAGGCCCTCCGGAACAGGCCACGACAGGAGCCGCAGGACGAACACCCTCCTAAATGCCAGCACCCCCAGAGGCCAAGAGCGGCAGTGGCGACTGCAATGACGGCGACGATAGTTGCGGCTCTGATACCATGTTAGAAATAGGATACTAGGAGGTAGGAAGGGCCGCCATGAAAGTGGCGGCGGGGTTTAGCTAGGAGAGTAGGAAATTATCGAGAGAAAAGGGAGGTGGGACTAGGAAGAGAGAGGCATACTAGGAATCTCCCGTATCTCTCGCCCCTTCGGGTACCCCCTCCGTCGATGAATTCTCCTGTCCTGAATTTACCTCATTACTCTCACATGCCTCCTCCACTGTGCAATTCGGCGCTGCTACATGTAGCAGCACACCGCGACTACGAGCTTCACTCACTCGACTTCTCTATGGCCTTCCTTCAGGGCAGCCTACACGAGCAGGTCTACCTGCGCCGTCCATAGGGCTTCCCTCGTACCTTCCTCCCTGGGACCCAGTGGCTTCTCCGGCGCCCGGTCTACGGCCTGCGCCAGGCTCCCCGCGAGTGGCATGACACGTTGCGTGCCACGCTAGCAGACCTGCAGTTCTTCTTGTCCTCTGCTGACCCCTCGCTCTTTGTGCTTTCCGGCCAGACCCCGTTCTACATCCTTGTCTACGTGGACGACCTGGTCTTCGCTACTGCTGACAGGGACGCACTGGCCCCCATGAAGGCCGAGCTGCTGAAGAGACACACCTACAGTGACGTTGGAGAGCTGCGTCTCTACCTTGGCGTGCAAATCTCCAGGGATACAGCAGCGCGCACCATCACTCTGACACAGTCACACTTGGTGCGTCAGGTCCTTCAGAGGTTCGGCCTTCAGTTCTCCTCCGCACAGACCACACCTCTACCTGTAGACCATGGGCTCTCTGCTCCCGTTCCTGAGGAGCCACTAGAGCCCAGCGGCCCCTACGCAGAGCTGGTGGGTTGCCTCATGTACCTGATGATTTGCACTCGCCAAGATCTCGCATACCCTCTCAGCATCCTGGCTCGCTTTGTGGCCACTGGCAGACACCGACCTCAGCACTGGTCAGCCGCTAAGAGGGTTTTGCGGTATCTAGCAAGTACATCGGGCATGGGGTTAGTGCTTGGAGGACGCAGGCCAGTGGTCCTTACTGGGCACACAGAGGCTTCTTGGGCAAACGACGCTAAGACTCTCAGGTCGTCTCAGGGCTACTGTTTCAGCCTTGGTTTGGTTGCTATCTCTTGGAGATCCACTCGCTTGTTGTCTGTTGCTCAGTCCAGCTGTGAGGCTGAGATCTACGCCGGTGCCATGGCGGCACCGGAGCTCCGCTGGCTGACCTTCTTGCTCACTGACTTAGGTGAGCAGCCTAGCTCTGCCCCGGTCCTGTACGTTGACAACAGGGCCATGATTCTCCTGTTTCAGGAGCATCAACTTGAGGGCAAAGCGAAGCATATCCAGCTGCGGTACTTCCTCCTGCGTGAGCTACAGCAGAGTCGCAAGGCCCGCGTAGTTCACTTGGCCTCCGGTGCCAACACAGCTGATATCTTCAGTGGCACTGTGTACAACTTGGTCTTGTTCCTGTAGCTACTCACTTGCTAGGACCCTGATTGTGTTCTCTCTACTATATATACCTGTCTGACTGGCCTTGTGGCCTTACCTCCAGTGGCTGGACTAGTAGTGCCGCCGTGGCTTGCTCTAGTCTTGTTTGTACTCTTGCTGACTGGTCTCTGGACCCCTGCCTCAGTGGCTGAACTAGTAGTGCCGCCTTGAGCTGTGTGCTTCTTGCTTAGCACCACCCCTTCTCTAGCCTAGGGGGTGTGTCAACTTATACTTATACATCGGTGTGTGCTCCTAGTGAGTACAACCCCAACAGGTATATGTTATGTGTTTCTCTTACTAGTCATCCATTCGCGTATTCTAACACTCAAACCCTTGCCTCAGAGGTCGGACTAGTAGTGCCACCTTGTCCTGCTTGTCTCTCACTAGGCACTCCCCTACCCAGTCTAGGGGGTGGGTCAAACATATCTTTGTATGTTATATAGCGTGCATAGAGTCGTACCTTAGAGGGTACAAACTCAGCATATATTGCCATCTATGGTATGATTTCAAACCATTAGTTTATGCTAAGACTTAGTTCGATGTTTCGTATTCTCTTGTAAAACGTTATAAACCCTTGTACGGTATTGCCTTGCTATCATCAATCATTTGCTCTCATATACCAGTACAAGGGTTCAACTCGGATTTCCGCTATGCTACTAAGCACCCTATCTACTGAAGGACTTCGTCTCTGCCAAAGATCCCTGGCTGTTCTCAGCCCAATATGGGCTAGCGGTTGTGACGGAGGAAGCGGAGAGCAGCAAAGGACCCGATGCGGCACACGAGGCAGAAGCAGAGCAGGAAGAGCCAGTCCCAGTACACTGCGGAGCGCGCGGACCTGGTGGCAACGAGGAAATCCCAGAGGTACTCGGGTCCCTTGACAGGGTTGAGGTACCACTTGCAGGGGCAGCTGGCGCAGATAGGGGCGGCGCCGGGGCAGCCTGGGAGGGTGCACTCTGGTGCCGCTGTGTTGCAGTAGTAGGCTGCTGCTGTGAGCCCGTTGAGGGCGTACTGGAGGGGGGAAGGAGTGGGTTGGAGAGGGAGAGAAAGGGAGAAAAGGGGGAAGTGGTAAGGGATTGGGGCGTCCTGGGAGGGAGCACTCTGGTGCTGCGGTGTTGCAGTAGTAGGCTGCTGCTGCCAGCCCGTTGAGGGCGTACTGAGTAAGGGGAGAGAGGTTGGGAGAAGGAGAGTAAGGGAGAGAAGGGAAACGTGGTAAGGGATCGGGGCAGCCTGGAAGGGGGCACAGCGGTGCTGCAGTGTTGCAGTAGTGGGCTGTTGCTGTCAGCCCGTTGAGGGGCGTACTAAAGAGAGGCGAGGGAGGAAGGAATAGGAGAAAGGGGTGGGTTGGAGGGAAGGGGAAGTGTCAAGGTTTTGACACCAGCAGCCTCGGATTGGGCCAATGTGTTATCTTAATTGGTTCACCCTGATAGGATTTGATCAGCATTTGTTCCCTAAGCGGCTCTTGTACAGCCTCGGCGTTTGCTTCCCTGTATTCAGCAAGAGGTACTTTCACCTTTGGAGGAGCACAAGTGGTTTTGCAAATTAGTAATTTTGTACCAGTGATTTTGCACAAGTGGTCAATTGATTTGAGCGGGAATGGTACTGAGCATTTTTAAGCATCTAGCAAACGCTTGTACAGGCCTTAACCCCACAAAAGAACATGGCAATGCATGCTACACGAGTGCACGCAATGCCACGTTACCTGAATGGGGTTGGTCCAGTAGACTGCGAGGAAGAAGTGCTTGGTGAAGGCAAAGGGCAGGAAGAAGCCGCACGTGGCCACCCATGCTGTGATAAGGAATGAAATCACCACTGCTGCGTACTGTGGGTGTAGGGAGGTAGGTGTAGGGTGGGGGGGTTGGGGGTGGTTGGTTGAGTGCATTTGCAGCAACCCACGCGGTGATGAGGAACAACACCACCACTGCCGCGTACTGTGGGGGTGTAGGGAGTATGGAAGGGAATAGGGGGATATGGGTGCACTAACGCCTGCCATGCTGTGACGAGGAATGAAATCAACACTGGCGTGTACTGTGGGTGTAGGGAGTGAGTGGGGAGGGGACAAAGGGGATGGAGAGGGGGGGGGGGATGAAGTGTGTACGTGAGGCGACCCACAGTGCGCTGAGGAATGGTGCAACCACTACTGCGCACTGTGAGTGCAGGGAGTGGCCAGGTCAAGGAAGGTGAGCGCTAAATTAAGGCGGGGGCTAGAGGAAGGTGAGGCGGACGTTGTGACTTTGGCACTCCAACCATACTGTGGGCACGGAGAGGAGACTGCAATGGGATGTACATAATAGGGCAAAGGGAGGGGTGCAGAATTAGGGCTAGGAGAAAAAAGTTGTGACAGGAGGGAGGCAAAGTAGGCAGCGGAGGGGAGGAGGACCTGGCAGATCTTGGAGGCGTGTCAATACAATACCTCGGGTTTGGAAAGCACCCTGGGCTTATTCAACGCCCCATGGTAGGTCTAGAGAGTACCTTGAGTTGGGGCAGTACCTTGGCTGTAGGGTTGGGTTTCGGGTAGAAATCACATGTACCTTTGGATGCGGTCCCACGTTCACCTTGGGATGGGATTCAGGGTAGATTCCGTGTGTACCTTGGGTTGGGCTGTACCTTGGGTTGTGCTGTACCTTGGGTTCGGGCAGCACCTTAGGGTAGAATTGAGAAGCACCTTGGGTTGGGGCAGTACCTTGGGTTGGGGCAGTACCTTGGGTTGCGGCAGTACCTTGGGTTGGGGCAGCAGCACGGAGAGCAGGAAGCCAAAGTAGGTGACAGCGAGGGCGGCGAGGAACTGGGTGAGACCGAAGGAGAAGAAGGTGCCCGCGCTGCCCACCGCCAGGCCAGCCAGCGGCGCTGCCACGCTGACCAGCGCGAGGGAGGTGAGGAGCAGAGGGGGGATCTGGCGGAGGGAGGGAGAGAGCAGGAGAAAGGGAGGCTTTTGAGGCACTGCCGACCGCCAGGCCTGCCAGGGCGCTGCCACGGTGATGAGGGCGAGAGAGGTGAGCAGCAGGTAGGGAATCTGAGGGGCGAGTGGGGAGAGAGGGGGGATTGGGGGAGAGAGGGGGAGAGAGAGTGGAATGGAGGAATATTAGCCATAATGTTACCGTTTCAGGATTCATAGATGTACCTCACTTCTGGTTGATGAAAGTTTGCCTGACATGAGTGAGCCAACTAGACATGTGGGTCAGCGAGCTATGAGTTTACACGAGCTTGTTTCGTCAAATGCTGCACAAAGAAAATCCCAGAGCTCGTTCCGCGCGCCATTTACATCCTGCGAAAGTGCTGGTTGTATGCGCGATCCATGGCATGTCGTGTGATCGTGACTTCGTTTTGAGACGTCTCAAAGCCTGCACACACTCTCACCTCCACTAGCGTGTGAGCCACTGTATAAATCTGCAAAAAGTGCTGGTTGTAAACGCGCTCCTTGGCGAAGATCTTCTTCGTCTGGTTGATCAGCCCCACGGCTGTGCCCCCATGGCACGTCGTGCCAAACGCCAGCACGGCAAAGGGGAATGCATGGGCCGTGGTGGCCTGCAGAAGATTGTTCACACGGTACTGGAAGAAGAGCGAGCCTATGAGCAGCCCCAGGATGGCGGACTGCACAATGCGGTTGAGGGAGTGCGAGGTGTTGCGCCAGTAGAAGAGGTGGATGGTGTGGTGCACTGCCAGAAACTTGCGCAGGCGGCTGGGAGGGGTGGGAGGGGAGAGCGGAGAGGCGTGGGCGAGGAGGGGCTGGAGGGATGTGGCGTGGTGGAGGGCGGTGGGGTGGTCTCCTGCCTTATGCTCCCCTTGCTGCTGGTGTGGATCTCCTGCGGCTGTGACTCCTGCGGCTGTGACTCCTGCTGCTATGACTCCTGCTGCAGCATCCGCTGCTGCTTCGGCTGCTGCAGCGGCGACTGCCTTGTGCCGTAGTGCCCCATCCTCTTGCGCACCCCTCCTTGCGTCTCCCTCTTCCTCCTCGGAATTGCCACCCATAGCAGCAGCATGCGCCCGTGCCACCCCCGCCAGGGCCTCTGCCTCCTCTGCTGCGATGGCTTCCTCGACTTCCAGCGCGGCCTGGGACCACGCCGAGTCAGATGCGGCCATTGAAACGCCAGCACTCTCATAGTCCATGCCACCTCCTCCTCCCATGGCCCTCCACCCAGCAGCAGCAGCACCCCCATACTCAGCATTGCCACCAGCAGCAGCACCGCCGGCAGCAACAGCACCGCTGGTAGCAACCAGTTTCGCAGCCTCCAGGTTAGCAACAGCAGCCCTGGCAGCAAAAGCAGTGGCAGCAGCAGCCCCCCCTCGGCGGAGGGCTGAGAGGCGGTGCGCGTTGAGCATGGCGAGGTCGCTGACTCGGTATTCCACCGCGTAGTCGCACGCCGTGGCGCGCTGGTGACCGGCGTCGCCGAGGAGGTTCTCTATGAAGATGATTGGGTTCGTGTCGGGGGGACCGGGGGGGTGCCAGGGATGGCAGAGAAATACTCCTGCAGGGAGGGGGAAAGGGAGGGCATTGGGAGGAGCGAATGAACGGGGAGGAAGCGGGCGGTGGGTGCCTGGGATAGCATTATAGTACTCCTGAAGGAGGGGAGATGAGGGGATGTGAAGAGAAGAAGGGACGGGAGGAGATTTGAAAGGGGCTTGGAGGGCGGCAGAGGAGGAAACGAAATGAAGAGAGAGAGATGCAGGGTGAGGGCATGCAGAGCGGAGAGTGAGTGCATGCAGAGCGGAGAGTGAGTGCATGCAGAGCAGAGAGTGAGTGCATGCAGAGCGGAGAGTGAGTGCATGCAGAGCAGAGAGTGAGGGCATGCAGAGCGGAGAGTGAGTGCATGCAGAGCGGAGAGTGAGTGCATGCAGAGCGGAGAGTGAGTGCATGCAGAGCGGAAAGTGAGGGCATGCAGAGCGGAGAGTGAGTGCATGCAGAGCGGAGAGTGAGTGCATGCAGAGCAGAGAGTGAGGGCATGCAGAGAGGAGAGTGAGTGCATGCAGAGCGGACAGTGAGTGCATGCAGAGCGGAGAGTGAGTGCATGCAGAGCGGAGAGTGAGTGCATGCAGAGCGGAGAGTGAGGGCATGCAGAGCGGAGAGTGAGTGCATGCAGAACGGAGAGTGAGTGCATGCAGAGCGGAGAGTGAGTGCATGCAGAGCGGAGTGTGAGTGCATGCAGAACGGAGAGTGAGTGCATGCATAGCAGAGAGTGAGTGCATGCAGAGCGGAGAGTGAGTGCATGCAGAGCGGAGAGAGAGTGCATGCAGAGCGGAGAGTGAGTGCATGCAGAACGGAGAGTGAGTGCATGCATAGCGGAGAGTGAGTGCATGCAGAGCGGAGAGTGAGGGCATGCAGAGCGGAGAGTGAGTGCATGCAGAGTGGAGAGTGCGTGCATGCAGAGCGGAGAGTGAGTGCATGCAGAGCGGAGAGTGAGTGCATGCAGAGCGGAGAGTGAGTGCATGCAGAGCGGAGAGTGAGGGCATGCAGAGCGGAGAGTGAGTGCATGCAGAGCAGAGAGTGAGTGCATGCAGAGCAGAGAGTGAGGGCATGCAGAGCGGAGAGTGAGGGCATGCAGAGCGGAGAGTGAGTGCATGCAGAGCGGAGAGGAGAGTGAGTGCATGCAGAGCAGAGAGTGAGGGCATGCAGAGCGGAGAGTGAGTGCATGCAGAGCGGAGAGTGAGTGCATGCAGAGCGGAGAGTGAGTGCATGCAGAGCGGAGAGTGAGTGCATGCAGAGCGGAGGAGGTGAGAAAGTGAGTGCATGCAGAGCAGAGAGTGAGTGCATGCAGAGCGGAGAGTGAGGGCATGCAGAGCGGAGTTTGCAGAAGCCACAGTCAGACTCTCTGCAGATCCCATTGTCGGACTCTCTGCAGATCCCATTGTCGGACTCTCTGCAGATCCCATTGTTGGACTCTCTGCAGATCCCATTGTCGGACTCTCTGCAGATCCCATTGTCGGACTCTCTGCAGATCTCATTGTCGGACTCTCTGCAGATCCCATTGTCGGACTGTACTATAAGGCCTCCGCCATCAAACTGCTACAAAAGTAGGCGGACTGTGAGAATTCCTTGGATACCGCATCTCATTGCAGAAGGCGTGGTCATCTCTGGCGGGGTCATTGCCACGGCGGTGACATCACCACAGCACCACCGCTACAGTCAACATCACCACTACACTCAGCTCACCACAAGCGCGAGGCCGTTCCTCCCTCTCGGGCCAGGTAGGCCATCCCTTAGGCATGCGACGATTTAGGCGCCTCAAAAAAGGCCCGCCCCCACCCACTCACCACAAGCGCGTGGCCGTTTCTCCCCGCGGGGCCGAAGAAGACCATCTCGCCGCCGCTGCCCAGCATGAGCAGCGAGTGGAAGGCGTTCAGATGGAACGCGGTAACCGCGTTGGACACCACCACCATGGCCCGCCCCCACACGGCTGCCACATGCTGTTAGAGGGGAAGAGAAGGGGGCACGAGAGAAGGGGGCACGAGGGAAGGGGCACGAGGGAAGGGGCACGAGGGAAGGGGGCACGAGGGAAGGGGGCACGAGGGAAGGGGGCACGAGGGAAGGGGGCACGAGGGAAGGGGGCACGAGGGAAGGGGGCACGAGGGAAGGGGGCACGAGGGAAGGGGGCACGAGGGAAGGGGGCACGAGGGAAGGGGGCACGAGGGAAAGGGGGCACGAGGGAAGGGGGCACGAGGGAAGGGGCACGAGGGAAGGGGGCACCGAGGGAAGGGGGCACGAGGGGAAGGGGGCACGAGGGAAGGGGGGCACGAGGGAAGGGGGCACGAGGGAAGGGGGCACGAGGGAAGGGGGCACGAGGGAAGGGGGCACGAGGGAAGGGGGCACGAGGGAAGGGGGCACGAGGGAAGGGGGCACGAGGGAAGGGGGCACGAGGGAAGGGGGCACGAGGGAAGGGGGCACGAGGGAAACCCAGATGAGACTCTGGGGTCGCGCACAGGGGACACCACCACCCCCATAGCCCGTCCCCACGCCCCCTCCCCACATGCTGTTCGGGAGGAAAGCCGAGCAGACAGCACGCATTGGGAGGGCGGGTGTAGCGAAGGAAGCGAAGAGAGGAAGAGAGGGAATGGGGAGGATAACAGGGTGGTAGGGACCGACCTATGGCATGTTCAGACAACTGTCCAAGCATATACATCCTTGTCCCCCCCCCTCCCCCCTCCCCCCCCTCGTTTCAGCTCCAAGTTCCTGCCCCTTGTCTCACCTTGAGCATGCCTGAGAACTTGGCGACCTCAGTGGTGTCCATCCTGAGAAACGGTGCGTCAAAGAAGATCACACTCGGGTTGCCCGCCATCTCCATCGCAAACACAATGCGCTTCTCCACATATGCCGACCCCACCCCGTCCGCCAGAATGTCCTGCACCAGGCAGTCCGCCACGCCTCCCTTGAACTCCATCAGCTCCAGAATCTGCGCCACAAACGCACGCCGCCGCTTGTCGGGCATGTGCTTAGGCAGTGTGAGCGCGGTGCGGTACAGCAGGCTCTCGCGCAGCGTGAGGAGAGGGTAGTAGAGGTCGGCGCCCTCCATGTACGACGTGTTGCACCGGAAGGACGGGGCGTCCCTGGGCTTGCCGTTCACCAGCAGGCGGCCGGTCAGTTGCCCCGGCACCTTGCGACCTGAGTGGAAGAGAGGCAGCAGAGGAGGGAAGAGAGAGGGTAGATGAGATAGGTTGAGGCGGCTTCAAGCCAGGTCCGCACCCTCCATGTACGGTGTGTTGCCTGGACTGGCCGTGTCTTGCCTGGGCTGGCCGTTCACTAGCAGGCGCTTGGACAGGAGGCTGGGTGGGCCCCCTGCCACCTGAGTGAGAGCAGCGCATGCAGCACACGACAGAGGGAGTCACTGGCGGCTTTGGAGTCATCTCGTCTCGGCAACTCAAGTCTTGAGGAGGATGGATTCGTGAAGGAATCATACTGTGTTGGTAGCACACCAATCTCCGTGGAGGTTCCAACAGACCAATTGACTTGCCAGCTCGAGTGTTGGTTCATGTGTCGAGGCCGCTGGTGCACAGTCGAGTAACTCAGAAGCTCACCTGCCAGGCAGTTGCCGGGGCTCCTGCCCATCCCCTCACGCCCTTCACAAAACAGTGGCTCAGCTCACCTCAAATCCTCTCTTCTGAGCCGACACACACACTCTCCCTCTCTCTCAAGCGGTCCTTAGGTATTAGCCTTATAAGTTGTACATGTACAATTCAGAGATGACAGGCAACATGTGGTCCCAGCAGCAGCCTTCCGCTACTCTCCCTCTCTCTCTCTCTCACCTGCCAGGCAGTTGAGCAACGTAGTCTTGCCAGTGCTCCTGCCCCCCGCGATAGCCGTGATCTCCCCCGGCTTCACCCACCCCGTCACGCCGCGCACCAGGCTGCGGCTCACCTCGCTCCTCCTCGCCACACCGCTGCCGCCCCAAGGCCACTGCTGCCGCCCAGAGAGTTCGTCCAGGAGCTCTCTGATTGGCTGGGAAGGGGCAAGGAGCAGGAGAGGCCTTCAAAGGTGATGAGGTATGGGGTGAAGGGGATGTTGGACTCCATCACCGCTGCCTCTGCCTCTGCTGCCGCTGCTGCTGCTGCTGCTGCCGCTGCTGCAGCTGCTGCAGCTTGTGCGGACCCTGCTGCTCCTGTGCCACCAAGAGGCCCCCACTCTGGGCCGCCCTCACCAACCCATGGCAGGGATGCTCCGCTGCCCATCCCTTGCATTGCCACTGTCACTGCCGCTGCTCCCGCTGCTGCCACCGCCTCCCCTGCGGCTGCCACTGCCTGCCCTGCAGCAGCAGCAGCTTCTTCTGCCACAGACGCCACTTGAGCAACTGTTTCTGCAACCACATCCGCTGCCCTTCCCGCTGCTGCCGCTGCTGCTTCGGCTGCTTCTGCTGCTGCCTCCCCAACTCTCGCCACACTCGCCCCCATTCCTGTTCCCCCAGAAACCGTCCCTCCCTTGACCCCGTCCTGCCCCTCACCACCCTCGTCCTCCCCCCTGACAATCACGCGCCTCATCCCTCGCTTGCTCTCACTCAGCACCCTCACTGCAGGCGCGAAGCTCTTGTAGTGGCTGGGCTGCATGCACAGGAGCGTGCCCGCTGTCCACACTGCAATCCACGCGAGAATCACGAGCGGCCCAGCGATCATGTACGCCCATTCGAAGTTCCAGCTGAATTCCTCCATGTACGCCTTGCCAATCGGCCACCCCTCCCTCCCCACACAGTACGGCATGGTAGCAGGGACGCGGTCCGGAGCCGGGCAGAATGCCACAGGGACGAATGGCCGGTGCTCGTTAATCACAAGTAACGTCGCTGCCCACTGGATGGGGTTGATCCAGTATAGCCAGATCCAGAAACTCGGTATAAGCACCTTCGCTACAAGCATGTGGCCGAAGAGGAACATGCCGGGGCCCATGAAGATGGCAGCAGCAAAGGCGGCGGAGCGCAGCGAGCGGGCGGCGAAGGCGATGAATCGGATCATGGCGGCGCCGTGGATGGCTACAAGGGCAAGCACAGCGAGGAAGATGAAGAAGTGCGCTCCATAGTCAGAGAGGCTCAGGCCCGTGAGGAAATACACCAGCACCGACCAGATGGTCGCCTGGCGGGGGGGAACGGGGCCAACGGGAGGAGGTGAGGGGAAGCATGAGAGCACGGCCACTCGAAAGCACAGCGCAGCATGAGAGCACGGCCACTCGAAAGCACAGCGCAGCATGAGAGCACGGCCACTCGAAAGCACAGCGCAGCACTTCCCGTTCCTGTTTTACCCTAGGCAAAGTCACGCCACAGGCCGTTCCTGTTTTACCCTAGGCAAAGTCACGCCCGACCCGCTCGAGCCGCTGCTCTTCGCTGCAGCTATTCACCCCGCCCTCCAGGCCACGGCGGATGCCCACCCCTCCGTCCTCTGTTTCGCCTACACCGACGACATCTCCTTCCTGGGCGACCCAGCCGACTGCTCCTCCGCCTTCGCGCACTTCACAGCTGCCCTCGCTGACCTTGGCCTGACGCACAACCCCGACAAGTGCACCGCCTGGTCGGCGACGCGACTGGCGCCGCACCTGCTGCCGCCGGAGGTCCCCTTCTGCACAGAGGGCCTCCGAGTACTCGGCACCCACATCGGACCTCCGGAGGGGGCTGCCACCTTCCTTAGGGCCCAGCTCGCCTCCATGGCGTCTCCCTTACCTGTCCTTGCCACCATGGACCCCCAGGTGGTGTCCTTACTGCTCCACCGGCGCATCTCTCGCCGAGTCTCATACCTCGTGAGCACGACACCCGTGAACCTGCTCCCGACTGCCGAGTGGTCCAGGTGGGGACAAGACCCCTTCTACACGCGCCTCCGGGCATGTGGCCTGCAGACGCTACGAGGGGAAACTGAAGAGCTTCGCACCTGGGCCCAGGCGTCACTATCACCTTCACTAGGAGGCCTGGGCCTCACGGACCCTGCGGTGGAAGGCCCGCACTCCTTCCTGACCAGCGCCACCCACGCTCACGCCCTTCTCGCCTCTCTGCCCGCCGCTGCTGCTAGCCCTCTGACAAAAGCCCTCCGGCCCCTGCGCCTGCGTTCACCAGCCCCACCATCCCTAGGTTGACAAAAACGCATTTGCAAGTTTGCGTTTTGAGTTTAAACGCAAAAGTTTTAACGCAATACTAAAAAACGCATCAAAACGCTCGAACGCACCGCGGAATTTTACCGGGCTGACCGAAGCGAAAAACGCACACAAAAAAACGCGCGATATCAGAAATCGAAATTGCATTTCGCCGCGCGTCGCGAATCGACAGCACATTTCTCGCGTTGCACATTCGCGAAAATTTTCACAGCGACACATAAACTTGTCAGTCTCTCCCTCCCTTTTCCCAACGTGTTTGAATTCCCAACCCATTCCTCCTTACTAGATCCAGATCTATATGTAGAGGAGAACTCGGCTCACCTTCCATGCACAGCACGATCTACTCCTACCCTTACGTTTTAACTTCCAGCAGCTAACCTATCCGATTTCCAGCCTCTAACATGGCGTCCTCCTCGTCGCCAGTACATGCTCCTCAATCGGATGAGGGCGAGGGTTCCACCAGTGTCACCACGTTCGTCGAACAGCCCGACCATGCGATATTCAAGCACTTTAGGACGGGTGTGGGCAGCGGACGGTAAGCTGACAGAGTCGCGAAAGTGTCACTACTGTCCCGCGACATTCGTTGGTGGCACGACGCGCGCCGCACAGCATTTGACGGAGTGGAACGGGATGAAGCATCGTGGCGTCCACCTCTGCCCCGCCGTTCCCAAGAAAGCTCGTGACGAGGTCAAGGCGCATCAGGAGCGAAACAATGAGTCGATGGACTGCAGGCGTCGTGCAGAGTCCTTGGCGCTGCAAGCTGTCGGCGGCGATGGGATGAGAGGCCGCATGACCGATTTTTTCGGTGATGAGCCCACGTGCAATCGGAAAGCTGCGGATGAGGCGATATGCCTCATGTTCGCGGCTCTTCGTCTGCCAGAGCACATCGCGGACAACCCCATCTTCACCAACGCCATCTCCTGCATTGGTCGTGCAGGCGCTTCCTATGTTGCCCCCAAGCGGCGGTACATAGGATAGGAGGTGCGGGGCTGCAGACGTGCCGCACGCGTGTGGAGACAGCGCTTGGCCCCATCGCCGCCAGCTGGGAGAGGGATGGCGTAACCCTAGCCAGCGACATGATGACTGATGTGAACGGGAGGCCGCAGGCAAACATACTTCTCATCAACGACAGTGGGGCAGTGTTTGTGGAGTCGATCGATACGAACATGGAGTGCAAAACGGGCGGGTACATCGCGAGCATCCTCCGCCCGATCGTGCAGCGCGTGGGCCCGGAAAACATCGTTGCGTTCTGCACCGACGGCGGCAGCAATTACGGCGCGGCGTGCAGGGAGTTGATGGCAGAATTTCCCCACATTGAGAAGGTCCCGTGCGCCACGCATGTTTTGGACCTCCTCATGGAGGACATTGGGAAGATGGCGTGGGCGCGGGCAATGGTGGAGAAGGCGGATTACATCATCGCCTTCTCCGCAACCATCAGTTCACGCGGAACTTCATGCGCAATGCAAGGTGGATGGGGGAAAGACGAAACAAGTTTTGCGGCCGGCCGGTACTCGCTTCGGGACCACCTACATAGCGGTGGGGCGCTTGAGTGAGGTGCGGCGGGCCTTGACGCAACTCCTCCTGAGCAACGAGTGGAAGGATTTTGCTGCTGTAGGGGCGAGGAGGGCAGCGGCAGAGGTGTTTAGCACGGCGGTCATGGATGGTGAGTGGTGGAATGTGGCTGAAGCTTTCACCCACCTCATGCAGCTGCCATTTATGGTGATGCGGGCCACGGATTCGTCGACGAAGGGAATGATGGGTAAGATTTACGACCTCATGTTGCAACTCACCGTGGACATGGATGACATGCTCGACAAGCGTGGGGAGGAGTTCCTGAACGAGGACGAGGCGGAAGAGATCCGGGGGTTGGTGAAGAAGAGGTGGGATCAAGACTTGGCTTGCCCCTTGCACGTGGTTGGCCGGATGCTCAATCCGGCCAACCAAACAGAGGGAATCTTCCGCAAGGATAAGGAGTGCACCACTGTTTTGAAAAAGTTCCTCTCCACCCACTTCGACCGGCGCATGGTCACCCTCCCGAATGGGAGGACGGTGAAGGAATCAGTGGTGCTTCAGGACGGCCTCACCGACTTCTTCACCATGCGCGGCAGCTTTGGCCTTGCCGAGGCAATCGCTGACCGTGAGTTGGTGAAGGCGGGAGAGATGGACATGGTGCGGTGGTGGACTTGGCATGGCACCGACCATCCTGCCCTCACCGCCCTCGCTTGCCGTGTCCTCACACAGCCGTCTCTGCAGCCGCATGCGAGCGCAATTGGGCGGTGTGGGACTCAGTCCACACCGCCAAGCGCAACCGCTTGGGGTCGGAGAAGTGCCGGGATTTGGTGTACGTGGCCCACAACTGGCATGTGGTCCACAACTGGTACAAGAAGGAGGAGGGGCTTGGGGTTGTTGCTGGGAACATCCCCGAGCCCCCATGCCAGAGGGATACAATGTGCTCGAGGAGGAGGCGGAGGAGGGGGAGGATGATGTGCTTGAGGATGAGTATGAGTAGGATAGATGTACAAGGTCGGATGGAGGAGGCATAGATGATGGACAGAAGATAGGTAGTCAGGAGATGTGGCGGCGGAGGAGGGGGAAGATAATGTGATGGATGATGAGAATGAGTAGGGGAGATGTAGAAGGTCGGATGGAAGAGGCATAGATGATGGAGAGGAGATAGGTAGTCGAGAGATGTGGCTGTGGATGTGTGTCCTTAGCGTGATGTTAATGTGAAAAGAAAATTTCTGCTGTCCCCTCCTCACCCCTCTCCTCCCCCTCCCCCCACCCCCCTATATCCCCTGCCCGGGCAAAATTTCCGC